GTTCAACAGGCTCTCTATCAGATCTAGTCCCTTAAATCTATTTCTCACTTCCACTGTATAGTCATAAAGGATTTGATTTAGGTCATACCTGAATGGTCTAGTGGTGTTCCCTACTTTCTTCAGTTCAAGTCTGAATTTGGCAATAAGGAGTTCATGATCTGAGCCACAGTCAGCTCCTGGTCTCGTTTTTGCTGACTGTATAGGGCTTCTCTATCTTTGGCTGCAAAGAATATAATCAATCTAATTTTGGTGTTGACCATCTGGTGATGTCCATGTGTAGAGTCTTCTCTTGTGTTGTGGGAAGAACAACGCTATGACCAGTGCGTTCTCTTGGCAAAACTCTATTACCCTTTGGCCTGCTCCATTCTGTACTCCAAGGCCAAATTTGCCTGTTACTCCAGGTATTTCTTGACTTCCTACTTTTGCATTCCAGTCCCCCATAATGAAAAGGATGTCTTTTTTGGGTGTTAGTTCTTAAAGGTCTTGTAGGTCTTCATAGAACCGTTCAACTTCAGCTTCTTTGGCATTACTGGTTGGGGCATAGGCTTGGATTACCGTGATATTGAATAGTTTGCCTTGGAAATGAACAGATATCATTCTGTCATTTTTGAGATTGCATCCAAGTACTGCATTTCGGACTCTTTTGTTGACTATGATGGCTACTCGATTTCTTCTAAGGGATTCTTGCCCACAGTAGTAGATATAATGGTCATCTGAGTTAAATTCACCCAGTCCAGTCCATTTTAGTTTGCCAATTCCTAGAATGTCGACATTCACTCTTGCAACCTCCTGTTTGACCACTTCCAATTTGCCTTGATTCATGGACCTAACAGTCCAGGTTCATATGCAATATTGCTCTTTATAGCATCGGACCTTGATTCCATCACCAGTCACATCCACAACTGGATATTGTTTTTGCTTTGGCTCCATCCCCTCATTCTTTCTGGAGTTATTTCTCTACTGATCTCCAGCAGCATATTGGGCACCTACCAGCCTGGGGAGTTCCTCTTTCAGTGTCCTATCATTTTGCCTTCTCATACTGTTCATGGGGTTCTCAAGGCAAGGATAATTAAGTGGTTTGCCATTCCCTTCTCGAGTGGACCACATTCTGTCAGACCTCTCCACCATGACCCAACCGTCTTGGGTGGCCCCACACGGCATGGTTTAGTTTCACTGAGTTAGACAAGATGGTAAAAGTGATTATTTACAACCTTCTCTCTTTGATATGGATCGCCTTATGTTTCCTTGATAATTTGTAAGTCCAGACTTTTGATTTTTATCTTTGCTGAAAATAGCTACCTTGTAAGACAGTATATATACCCACACTATGTTGAATAAAACACCTTTGCTCCATCAGAGCTTTCTTTCCTTCTCTCTCTCTCAGGCTAATTCTTTGGAGCACAGAAGCCCACTGAGCTCACTTTCTTGCCCGGGCTTCTAAGACCCTCTAGAGAAGGCACACTGTGCCTTCACCCCTGGAGAGGGCACCTGGTGCCTACATGAAGCAGTGCAAGCTCTGTGTCAAGAGCTTTATTGGTTTTCTGTGTAATCCAAAGAATATCAGCCTCTTTCTCTTTTACTTTCTTATCATCGACTCCAGACCACCAGGTTCCAGTCTATTAAAGGACCGCAACAAAACATAACTGTGTAACAGAAAAAATGCCAACTAGAAATACAATATTAGAAATGTTTGGGACTTCACTGGTAGTCTAGTGGTTACCACTGCACTCTTTTTTTGTTTTTTACGACTGCACTCTTTCATTGCAGGAGGCATGGGTTTGATCCCTGGTCAGGAAACTAAGATCCCACATGATGGTGTGGGGAAAAAAAAAATTGTGTTTGGCAAGGTTACTGAACACAAAAATTAACAAAAATCAGTTTGATTTCTAAATACCAGCAAAAAAATAAAAACAAAAGATATTTACAGTGGCATAAAAAATGCAAACTATCTACAAAAAAAAGCTTTAAAAAATACATGTAAATCTACTGTGTGAAAAAGTACAAAACTTAACTGAAGATAATAAAGGCCAAAATAGATAGTATCATGTTCAAGGACTGGGGGGTTCTGTATGATAAAATGTACTTTTTCCCCAAAGTGATCTTATAGATTCAATGAGATTCTAATAAAAATTCACAAAAGTTTTCATGAAACTTAACAAGCTTATTCTAAAAGTTTTATGAAAGTACAAAGGTTACAAATAACCATGACAATCCTTCAGAATAAAGCTATGTATGAGGTATGCAGAAGATAATACAGAACAACAGCTTTAAAATACTTTTCTCCATTATGATGTCAAAAATTAACAATAAAAAGAATACATAAAGGAAAAAAGATTAACTAAACACATTAAAGTTAATTTTTATTCATCAAAAAGTACCATGAAGAATGGGAAAGGACAGTTACATCCCAGAGAAGATATTTGCAAATATTTAACCAGTAAGAATTAGTACTCAGAATATGTGAAGAATTCTTATGAATTTATAATAATGGGCAAAAAGACTGGAAATGAAAATTATAACTACAATTCAGGCCTAAAGCCCACTAGATTAGCAAGAATTAAAAAGTTTGACATAATTAAGTATTGCCAGGAATGCAAAGTGAATCTCTTACAGTGCTGGAAGTGGTCCACTTTGGGAAGTAAGTTGAATATACACACAACTGGTGACTTAGCATCATTACTCCTAGAGAAGTTCTCAAATGCTCGTAAGAGATACACACAGCAGTAGGAAACAAACAACATAAAAAAACGAGTGATCCAAATATCTATCAAGAGTAGAAAGAATACTGCAGTATATTCATTTAGTGGAATCCTAATCAGTAATTAAAATGAATTAACTTTGAGATTAACATGAATGAACAAAAAAAACACCACTGACTGTTAAGAGAATATATGATGAAATAATACACATATTAATTCAAAACAGGCAAAATAGTCTATTGTGTAGATATACATACATAGTTGGGAAAACAGTGAAGAAAAATAAGTGAAAAATTATCACAAAAATCATCAGAATAGTGACTAATATGGACAGAGTGAGGGTATGTGATTAAGAAAGTGCACACAGAGGCCTTTCATCAACAAAGTTTGAGATTCTAATCTGAATAGCTGTACACTGGTGTTGGCGTCACTATTCTTTAAAGTACACAGTTATATGTCATGCAATTTTCTGTATTTGATACTTTTCAACAGAAAGAAATTAGCTTATCACATTTTGATTTAACATTTGGTAATAAAATACTTTATTGGTACCTTTTACTATCAAAAACATAGTAAAGTTTCCATTGCTTAGCTTCCATATTTAAATTAAAAGCTTGTTTTTTAAAAAAGAAAAAATCCATTTGGTTCTGTCAAAAAACAAACTACAACTCACTTCTGTAAATAATTAGGTTCTCTCACTTTAAATATCTTAATTCACTGGTCTTTATAATAAATAACTGTATATAAAAGGAGACAATGACCTGAACAATTTTGCAGAGAACACTTTACACATCTTAAAAAACCAAGTCTAAAAGGAATCCCAACTTAATACTTAAAAGAACAGTAACAGTTACTGTAAAATTGAATTCATGTAGCACCAAGAAATTTGGGACTTATAATATTTCAGATGATATGATATATGGAGCAAAAAGAATAATGATTTGTCTTCCATGAATTTTCAGGGGTTTATATACAATAGAAAGAATTCCTTATAGGTCCCTTTGAAAAGCCAAAGGTTCAAAAATCTATGCATGCCTTTCACCACATCTCCAATTTGTGGATATAGCGCTTGACCCTATGGCAAAAGATCCATGTGTGATAAACAGCACAGTACAGTCCTATCTGAATGTAACTGCTTCCTCATCTTGTCTCATTAATATAATTTATACCTCAATTAAAACATCATTCTATCTGCAAGTTATATATTCCCTAAAATACTCTATAATTCAGATTTCCATTTAGACAATGTTCTGCTCTGCCCCTTTCCTTGAATCAGTATGATCTTATGGCATACCTCATTAAATTGCTTGGTTTTTCTCCCCTCAACTCAAAGTATTATAATAATGTAAATACAGATGTAGCATAATTAACATAGAAGACAAAAAGGATAAAACAAACATATGGATCCATGCTAAATGAGACAACACAAAGCAAAAAACACACAACACTATGCTATGTTCATCTATTCTGAGCCACAAGAAGGCCCTGCTAGAGCCTTGGCTCATGTAAACTGATGTTCCCAGACACCCCTAGTGTCCTGTATTCCAGCATAACTAACTGTTATGTTTAAGGTGTTTCCATATTTATTTGTTCAGAACAGCCTACAGCAACTCTGACTCCTAATCCTGAACATGATGATAAATTAGTAACACATTATATTTTTAATCAAGTGATAGATTCTATCCTTAGTATTTTCTACTATTACCCATTTGTTTAAAAATAGACATTCAGGGGGCTAGGCAACACAAAGCTGGGGAACTTTTATCTCTGCCTGCTCTTCATTAGTTGGGAATTTTAGATATGTCATTTAGTTATCCTCTGCTTCAGTGAAAATGGATTCTTTAAGCAAATGACCAAAGATCTTCATATAAAACCAAGCAGGTTGACTCAGTGGTCAGCAGGTGAAGAACCCTTGTTGACACACTCCATCCATAACACTCCATCCTCTCTAAAGGAATAGGATGCTCCAACCTACCTTGAGCACAACACATTTCACCCCTCAGCCCAGATGCAACCAGGATACACATCAGAACATGAAGCCAGGTAGAAATTAACTCAAGACTACTCTCAGAACAAATACCAGATTTTGATTTGTCAATGATCCATAGTGAGGTATGTTCAGAAAAAGAGACTCTGCATTGCAACACTGCTTTTTCTTCTCACACCAAGTTTAACTGCTGAAGTAACATCAGCAAGAACACAAAAGCATGTCTTCCTGAAAGAGGCACTGCATCTAGAATTGGAATTAAGGCTAAACAAATAGTCCTGGTTTGTGGTTCAGATAATGTGTCAATGATTACATTAACCAACAGCTTCGCTATTTGTCCTGTATGCCTGTTTGTGAAGATGCGTCTCTATCTCCTCCCTGAAGACCAGCATTCCCAGGTGAGAGTGAGAGGCCTCGTTCATGGCTTTGGACTGGATGCACATGCGGTACTGCTCAGGGGTCAGCTCGTCAGCACAGCGCTTCTCATGCCAGAGGTGGAAAAGACCAGGAACCGGAGTCCGAATCACAATCAGGTCACTGTGTAAGTATTTTCGATACAGATGAACATCTTCTCCACCCCAACCTTTTACTTCCATATCAAATCCACCTGCAGGATCAAAACTCATACTATTAAATAGCTGCCTGGCAGAGCAGAGTCAAACCTGATAAAGATTTAAACATTCTGCCTCAAATAAGATGACATGTACAATCTAAAGACACCTGAAGTAGAGGACTGACATCTTGGCTTAGAAATACAGTTACCAGCTGATAGCTGGAAGGTCAAGGGTCTGTTGTTGAGTATCAAAATAAGATTAAATATTTGAGAATACTTTGCCAACTTCAGTTTTATAGAACATTTCTAGAAAGTCAAATAAAGGAGAAGGAAACCTAAATCACTATCACCACCATTAATGTTTTATGGTGTTTTTCTTCTATCCTTTGAGATCCAAGTTTTTCTGGGTCACAGAAAATTTTCCAGAGGGGAAAACACAAGAAATGGGCCAAGTGGGACACATAAAATTGAGAATGGACACACAGATGATTTAAAGCCACATTAGTAGGTGAAATTACTAATAAAGTTTACAAGGAAAACAGGGCCCAGGTCTAACTGCTAAGAAATGCCAAGTATCTGGAGGGCAAACAGGCAGAGAAAGTTAGCAAAAGAGACTGAGGCAGCCCCAGAGGAAGAAGAGAATTCTGGAGAATGTGTCATCACAGCAGTCAAGTGAGGAAAGCATTCTAAGGAAGAAATGGTCATGTGCTGCTCAATTAAACAGAATCAAGTAGATTTGGCAATGTTAAATGTCACTTACAGCCTTACCTAGAGCATAGGAGATCAAGTTCATACTATTTTTAAGTTGATTTAGGCTGAACTAACTGTAAAGAAGCATGGAGAATACAAACTATTTTGGGTTTTTTGAAGAGTTAGAAAAGATTCTGAAAGATGGAGAAAAAAATTAATTGTTATTAAAATCTAGGTTTCCAAATGATGTCTTTTATCAGATAATTCCATGTCACTTAATTTCATACTTACAGGATGACAAGAATCCTGAGATCTCTGAAAAGTATTATTTTAAATAATCACAGCTTTACTAAATGCTATGTTTGGTATATCTTGGCTTTTCTTACTTGTAGATACAAATAAGTTCCTCAAATATTACAGATGGTGTAGACAGTGAAAATAAATAGAGGACTTCCCATTTCTGTCCAACATGTACAGACAGACCTTCATTCCATCCTTCCAACAAATAAAAAGTTGAACAAACTGAAAACTCAACTCTTCTCAGATCCCTCAGAGAAATAAAGTCACAGGGCAAACTGCTCTTCCCTAAACTGAAGAGACAGACTAGGTGTGTAAGACAGAATCACAACTATTAATGTTAGAGAAGAAACAGACTAGAAGAAATCTCCAGGGGAACCAGTACAGGGGTAGGAAAGTCTGAGTTGATGAACTGCTAGAGGCTCAGTGGAAAAATCTAAGAATTGAAAACTCCAGAGGGGCCCATACACTTTTGTGAGTTTTACCTCTAGGTTTACCAGGTTCTCACAATGAAGACTACAGAAAAATCCTGCAGTGCTTTCACAAGTGGGAAAGTAACCATACTGAAATATGCCAGGGTGTTTTTTGTTCCTAACAAGGTCTACCCTCAGGAAAAACTATCCTACCAGAGCCTAACCTATCTGGGGGAAAGGATATAGCCAACTAGTCCACTGTAGCCATCCTGTCCTACCTAAGATTGGGGGCAGTGTCTGAGAAATGACTGCAAAATTCATGGTCCAGATTCACAGGATCGCTAAAGAAAGGACTGAGACCTTATCATAGGACTATAGAACACTTTCTCATCTCCCATGCCTTATCATCACATCACTGAAGGCCTATTTACTTCAGTCTTCTTTACCCAATACATCATGTTCAGCTACGAAAAAAAAAGTATGCAAACTGAAGGTCAAAAAAGATTGAAGAGAAAGAGGAACATCAGAACCAGACTCAGATATGGCAGGGATGTTGGAACTATAGGACTGTGGATTTAAAACAACTATGATTAATACACTAAGGGCTGTAATGGAAAAAGACAAAATGCAAGAACTGATGGGCAATGAAGCAGAGATAGATTCTAAGAATGAATCAAAAGAAATGTTAAAGATAAAAAGCAGTAACGAAAGGAAGAATGCCTTTGCAGGGCTCACTAGTAGACTGGACTTGGCTGAGCAAAGATCTCTAAACTTGAGGACACATGAATAGAAACTTCCAAGACTGAAACGCAAAGAGAAAGAAGATTGGAGGTGGGGGGGGCGGGGGAGAAAAAAACAGAACAGAACATCCAAGAACTATGGGACAACTACCAAAGGTATAATGTTTGTATAATAGGACAGCCAGAAGGAAAGAGAGAAGGAATACAAGCTCCAAATGAAAGAGGTGAAATTGCAAACAAGTGCTGCTGAGTGAGGGGCAGGGGCTCCCTGTCTTCCCCAGCCCACATTCACAGGATAGAGGCTCTTCACGAGGGAGAGGGAGTTGGTGATGGACAGGGAGGCCTGGCATGCTGTAGTCCATGGGGTTGCAAAGAGTTGAACATGACAGAGCGACTGAACTGAACTGAAGAGGGAGAGGGGCCTTTCGGCTCCCACCTAATGTTCTGATCAGAAGGCAGGGGTGTCCCTCTGAGAGAACTGTGTCACCATCTCCAACCCCAGGAATCGAGCAGAGACTCAGAGCTTTTTAGGGGAAGAGGCAGTCCATAAGAACAAACACTCCAGAGCTCTTCCCAAAGGAACTAACTTTATCTGAAAGAAAGTGTACAGAAATTAAGGCCTAAAGGGGCTCCTGTAAATATTGGAGATTTGGTGATGAACAATTAAGAGGCGCTGGTAGCCATTAGGGCAAGCTAAAATGTAGGCCACCCAGTTTACCAGAGAGGAAGGAAGAGAAACAGCTAAGAGCCATCCTGGGGTCCAAACAAATCTCAAAAACTTGCCTCCAAAACTACCCTACAAAAGGGTTTAAGGGCTTCTCTGGTGGCTCAGATGGTAAAGAAACTGCCTGCAATGAAGAACTGGCTTCGATCCCTGGGTCAGGAAGATACCCTGGAGGACAGAATGGCAACCCACTCCAGTATTCTTGCCTGGAGAATTCCATGGATGGAGGAGACTGGTGAGCTACATACAGTCCATGGGGTTGCAGAGAGTCAGACACTTAGCTGAGGGACTAACACTTTCAAAAGGGTTTAGTTTAATTCATTCAGACTGTGGAGCAATCTACGTCCCAGAGCACTGTCCTGTGAGCAAATTAATGCAGCCTAATAACTGGGCGTGACACCAGCAGAGGCATGGGAGGAGACAGTGAAAAAGATATCCATTCAATCCAATGTCATCCCAGGATGACTGTACACATACCCTGATGAGTGACGTGAGAACTGACATGAGGTGGAGGATGGGGAGCCATAATTCACTGAAATAGTAAAGCCGAGTCAATCAATAAACAAGTAAAGTGGAATTGGAGTTGCTCAGTAGTGTCCTACTCTTTGCGATCCCATGGATTGTAGCCTACCAGGCTCCTCCGTCCATGGGATTTTCCAGGCAAGAATACTGGAGTGGGCTGCCATTTCCTTCTCCAGGGGATCTTCCCGACCCAGGGATCGAACCACTGTATCCCACATTATAGACAGACGCTTTACTGTCTGAGCCACCGGGGGGTTGGGGGGGGGTCAATATACAAGTAAAGGTAAAACAAAATGTAAGCCCTGGGGGCAGGGGAAATTAATATCTAGAATCAACACAATATATAACTTAAAATGTCTCATTTTCAAAAAAGAAAAGTATTGAAAGAAATAAAACTGTGACCTATATATCAAAAGAGAAGCAGACAACAGAAACTGCCTATGAGAGGGACCAGATGTCAGTTTTAGCAAAGATTTCAAAACAACCATGATAAATATGTTCAAAGAATTAAGAGAAACCATGCTTAAAGAAGTAACAGAAAAATGACAATGTCTCATCAAGTACAAAACATTATAAAGAGATGGAAATCATATATTTTTAATAAGAGAAATTCTGGAGTTAAAAAGCACCATAACTCAAATGAAAAATTCACTAGCGCAACTCAACAAGTAGATATGCACTAACAAAAGAATCAGAGAACCTGAAGACAGATCAATTGAGATTATGTTACACGAAAGACAAGAGGAAATGGATGAAGAAAAATGAACATGTCTCAGAGAAATGTGGAACACCATTAACTGCTCCAATATACATCTGATAGGAATGTGAGGGGGGAAAAGAGAAAGGAGCAGTGAGAAATAACAGAGGTCAGAAGGCAATAATGGATCCTTACTATTTTAGGAAGAAATCAGGGGGAAAATGTATTAGTTTTACTTAATAGTCTTTTTATTACTATTTGCTGATTTTCCATCATTTGTTACAGAGATGAAAAGGTGGAGGAATTTCCAAAGCAAATGGTTGACTATAAAAATGAAGGTAAAATGGACGTATATATATTCTATTAAAAATACATCAGCTTCTCAGAGCAAAATTCAGGCTTAAACTTAAGAAAGCAGGGAAAACCACCAGGCCAACCAGATACAACTTATATCAAATCCCCTATGCATATACAGTGGAAGTGACAGATAGATTCAAGGGATTAGATCTAGTAAACAGAGTGCCTGAAGAACTATGGATATTGCACACTGCCTCTGTAATATTGCACAGGAGGCAGCGAACAAAACCATCCCAAAGAAAAAGAAAAGCAAGAAGGCAAAGTGGTTGTCTGAGGAGGCTTTACAAATAGCTGAAGAAGAAAAGTGAAAAGCAAGGAAGAAAGGGAAAGGTACACCCAACGAAACGTAGAGTTCCAGAGAAAAGCAAGGAGAGACAAGAAGGCCTTCTTCAATGAACAATGCAAAGAAATAGAGGAAAACAAGAGAAGGGAAAAGACTAGAGATCTTGTCAAGAAAACTGGAAGTATCAAAGGAACATTTCATCCAAAGATGGGAACAATAAAGGACAGAAACAGTAAAGACCTAATAGAAGTAGAAGAGACCAAAAAGAGATAGAAAGAATACATAGAATCACTGTATAAAAAAGATCTTAATGACATCAATAACCATGATGGTGTGGCCACACACCCAGAGCCAGACATTCTGGAGTGTGAAGTCAAGTAGGCCTTAGGAAGCACAGCCGTCAATAAAGCTAGTGCAGGTGATGGAATTCCAGCAGACCTATTTAAAATCCTAAATGATGCTATCAAAGTGCTGCACTCAATATGTCAGCAAATTTGGAAAACCCAACAGTGGCCACAGGATTGGAAAAGGTCAATTCTCATCCCAAATCCCAAGAAGGGCAGTACTAAAGATTGTTCAGACCACCGGACAACTGCATTCATATCCTATGCTAGTAAGGTCATGCTCAAAATCCTTCAAGCTAGGCTTTAGCATTATGTGAATGAGAACTTTCAGACATCCAAACTGGGTTTAGAAAAGGCAGAGGAACCAGAGATCAAATTGCCCACATTTGCTGCAACATAGAGAAAGCAAGGGAATTTCAGAAAAACATATAAATCTGTTTCATTGACTATGCTAAAGCCTTTGACTGTGTGGATCATTAACGAACTGTGGAAAACTTTTTAAAGAGATGGGGATATCAGATAATCTTACCTGTCTCCTGAGAAACCTGTACGCCAGTCAAGAAGCAACAGTTAGAATTCCGTATGGAACAACTGATTGGTGCAGGACTGCAAAAGGAGTATGACAAGGCTGTTTATTGTCACCCTGCTTACTTACCTTATACACAGAGCACATCATGAGAAATGCTGGGCTGGATGAGTTACAAGCTGGAATCAAGACTGCCGGAAGAAGTATCAACAAACTCAGATATGCAGATGATACCACTCTAACGGCAGAAACTGAAGCAGAACTAAAGTACCTCTTGATGAGGGTTAAGGAGGACAGTGAAAAAGTCAGTTTAAATATTAAAAAAACTAAGATCACAGCATCCAGCCCCATCACTTCATGGCAAATAGAAGGGGAAAATGTAGAAGCAGTGACAGATTTCTTATTGGGCTCTAAAATCAATGTACTGCAGCCATGAAATTAGAAGACAACTGCTTCTTGGCAGGAAGGCTATGACAAACCTAGACAGTATGTTAAAAAGTAAAGACATCACTTTGCTGACAAAGGTCCATATAGTCTTTCCAGTGGTCACGTATGGTTGTGAGAGCTGAACCATAAAGAACGAAGAGTGTAAAAGAATTGATGCTTTCGAACTGTGGTGCTGGAAAAGATTCTTTTTTTTGGAAAAGACTCTTGAGAGTCCCTTGGACAGCAAGGAGATCAAACTAGTTAATCTTAAAGGAAATCAACCCTGAATACTCACTCATTGGAAGGACTGATGCTGAAGCTGAAGCTCCAATATTTTGGCCACCTGATGTGAGCAGCCAACTCACTGGAAAAGACCCTGATGCTGGGAAAGATTGAAGGCAGAAGGAGAAGAAGGTGCCAGAGGATGAGATGGCTGGATGGCATCACCAAGTCAATGGACATGAACTTGGGCAAACTCCGAGAGATGGTGAGGGAGAGAGAAGCCTGGCATGCTACAGTCCACAGGGATGCAGAGTTGGAGATGACTTAGCTACTGAACAACAACAATATGCAGTGGGAAGGGAGCTCCTGAGTGAATCAGGAAACATGGAATGAATAAATCAGGTTTCAGCTTGCTTTCTTAAACTATGCTCTGATGCTTTATTTTTGCTAGGTAAGACTGATGGTGGGGTGGGGCAGGTAGCTTAGATCAGATTCTTCATGGTCAACTTGCTTCAGGGGAGTGGATGACTAAGCCAGTGATTCCAAGTCCCTTACTCCAACTACAACCAGAGTTAGAGAGAGGAGATTTTTTCCCCCCATTTGTTTTAAATACTGAAATTCTGCATTATGTTCAAAAGACAAATAAAGGTGGTTTCCTCTCTAAATAAAAAATATGAAAGCCCTTGAGCCAGACAATTGAACATTACTTCTAGCCATCTGTGATTACAACACCAAAGTTAGGTACAGATCTTTTGTTACAGTACTAGAAACAACTGCAAACATGGCTATTTTATCTTTATGACCTCATTTTTCTAGTCAAAGACTCTAATAAAATAAACTTATTTTGTCTTTCATATTTCCAGACTCTTCAGCCAATCTCAGATATTCAAAATTTATTAGAAAAATATTTAAATCTGATACCTTTAGAAAAATGTCTTAAGATATTATAGTAAACACCTAAAGTCCTATTCTTAAACATAAGGTATACTTACCAATGCTCAGGAAATCTGATTGGTACTGACAAGTCATTCCAAATCCAAAATCTCGCCAAAAGCCAGAATCCTTTTTGTGAACCTTAAGTTTAAAAAACAAAACTCAATTTAATCCCTCAAAAACCAGAAGTAGTTTCAATCAACGATGAAACAAATTAAAATATTTTCCAAATAATTTTTTCTATAAAAAAGGAATCATTTATGTGACTGATAATGGGATCACATGGCTTTATATTATTAAATCCTTATAAAAACCAACAAAAGTATAGTAATCCCCATGAGCATAGGATTCTTAACCGCCTTCAACTTAATCTGATTCAAGTCTTGGACAAGGTTCGAGCTGAGGTTACTAATAATCAAAGAGTGTGATGCTTGACCTCAGAGGGCTTACATTTTAGGAGGACACCAGTGGCGTAAGCACATACTGTAATACACCAATCACTTCTCCACAGGAGACCTCATTTGATGCATGGCCAGCATCCATTCCCCTACTCCCATTCCTAACTGTGTACAGTTTTGCTCAGTAATTACCTGGCCCCATGCAGCCCATGAGCTTCAGGGATGCTCCTTCCACTAGCAGCATCAGATAGGACTGCGAGCACTCTCCACCAGTGAGACAGTTTCATCCCACTCATTCACGAACTACTTCACTAACAGGCATTAGATAATGTTCAGGCCAACATGCTAAAATAAGATGCTTGTTGGGAACTTTGGAAAACAGAGCCCCCTCATTCTTCTGAGAGAGATACCAGAAAAGACACTTGCTCCCTTTGGATGGTACAGGACAGGAGTAAGCAAACTATAGCCTCCGGGCTACATCTGGCTGGCTACTGGCTTTGAACATCATTTTACTGTAACACAGGCACACTCATTTGTTTATGAATTGTCTTTGGGTGTTTTCATGGTACAATGACAGAGATGCATAGTTGTAACAGGGATTTATGGCCCGCAAAACCTAAAATATTTCCTATGTGGCTCTTTACAGAGTAAGTTTATCAGCCTCTAGCATAGGGTATAAATATGAAGTCTGGAACTGCTGCAGTTTTTTCCCACCACGAGGGAAACCACCTTTAAAATGGAATAGTCACCACTGAAGTCCAAGCAGAGAAAGAAAAAAATCAGGGCTTTGATGATATTGGGCATGTAGAATCAAGTAAAAGTTGAAGCTTGATAGACCGCCTTTTAAAATTCACAATTCAGTGGGGACCCAGCCATGAACAGAGGTGACAGAGTCCCTGCTACCACAGAGCCTCCGTTTTGATGGGAAAATAGCAAATAAATAAATATAGGTCTCAGGTGGTGACACATGTTAGGAAGAAAGATGCCGTAGGCCAAAGAGAGAGCAAAACAGAAAGCCTATTTTAGATATAACAGCCACAAAAGGCCCGAGGAGGTAAAGTTTGGGCAGGGACCCTATTGAAATCAGGGAGTGAACAATGCAAATATCTGGAGATCATTCCAGGAGCATGTACCATAGCTCTGAGGTAGGAGCACATTTGGAGTGTTCGACAGTAAAGAAACAACTGTGGCAAGAGCTCAGAAAACAAGGGCAAGAAGAATGTGGCTCCAGATCAAGAAAGAGCTATTACATTTTTCAGACCTAAGTGGTATTACAGTATTTTTGTAGGCTAATGGCGATGATCCAGAAGAGGCAAAATGTTAGGACACGAGAGAGTGAAGAAAGCTGCAGGGATGTCCTTGTTCAGACATCAGGAATGAGACATCTAGTTCACTACAGAAGGACGAGCTGGCCTTAGGAAGGGATGTGGGGAGTTCCTCCAGGCTGAGGATGTGACAGGGCCAGTGAGGCCCATGGTCTCATGACAGGAGAATAAGGAAGTGAACGCTTGACTGCTTCTCCTTCCTAAGTGAAACAGGAAGCAGGATACACGGAGTGAGAAGTGGTGAGGGTTGCTGGGAGGCGTAGGACAGTGCGGCTGGACTGGAGGACAGAGCAAGGGGACTAGAGGCAGCCTGAGACCCAGAGGCCTGTGGTCAAGTGTTCAAAGTCGTTCTGTGCAGTGGGAGTGTGTTCCTCACTCTACCTTCTGCTGCTCTGCAGCCTGGTTGACAGAGGTGCCCTTAACTAGGCTGGGGTTATAAGACAAAACACTGGAAGGAGTGACGGATGAAGGAGGTGAGTGTATAGCAGAGAAGAGGCTGTGGCTCATGACTGACCACAGAGTCTAGTCAGGTATGGAGGGAAGTGAGGATATGGCTGTGAGGAGGGTGACAGAAAGGAGAGAGACTGATCCCTCACCCAAAGGGCAGCATTCTGAGATGGCTTTCTCAAGAAATGAAGTGAGAGCTGGGATCTGAGAGAGAAGCAAGAGTTAATCAAGTAAAAGAAGATATGCTGGGACAGAGTTTCAGGCAAGACAACAGTTTGTGCAAAGGCCTGAGGTGGGAGAGAGCACTGTGGGTGAAAAATGATGTGCCTAAACACTTCAGTCAGATGTACCGGTGCCCACGAATGTAGAGCAGGTCTCAGGAAACTTTGATAAAAACTAGATAGTAAATATTTTAGGGTCTGAAGAACACAGAATCTGTCTCAACTTTGTCGGTGTAGAGTGAAAGCAGTCATCAACAACAGTTAAAGAAACATGCTGTGTTCCAAAACACTTTATTTAAGGCCATTGAAATTTGAATTTCATGAAATTTTCATGGCATGAAATATTATCCTTTTGAAAATATTTTTCATCCATTCTTAACTCCTGGGCCCTACAAAATTAGGCAGGAGGTCGGACTGCAAACTGCTGTCCTGACAAAGGGCACGTGACGGTTATCTCCCCCAAGAGTGGTAGCACCAGGAAAGGGTCAGCCCAGGAGGAATGATGTGGAGCAACGTTCTGGACATAATGAATTTGAGTGATCTATAGGGCAAACATGTGGAAATTCTTACGGATAGCAGGAATACAAGAATATACAGGTCTGTAGAGGCAGAGAAGGGTTAGGGGAGTTGAGAGTTTCAGGGGACAGTCTGAAAAAGCTGCTGTGCAGAATGAGAGAACAAATTGGAAAATAGAATGACCCAGGCAGTACTGAGGATCTGGCTCAAGTAGGAGCTAATAAATGAAACACAAACTTTCCTATTCCATTTGGGAGGTTGCGGGGGAGAAGGCAGCTTCTCTCCTGCTTCTAGCAGAATGTAAAACTTCCTGAGGGCAGGACCTTTTGCTAATTTTAATCAATTCTATATCTCTAGCACCTGGAACAATGCAAGGCACAGGATAGGCTTTCAATAAATATTTAAACAAATAAACAAACTTATAGAGGTATGACTTCTGTGGCAAAACCAAGATTAGGCTCTAATATTCTTATCTCTCCAGTCAAAAAATATATAATACATATAATCCTGGTGCAAAGTATTAAAACATCTACTCTGACATTTCTACCCTATGCCAATTCTGATTTAATAAATATTATGAAAATTCTGCAAATATTATCAGACTTGGGGGAAAGAGTCATTGGCTTTGATTTTTAAATCTGCACATTTTCATGGAGGAAAGTAGAAGGAAACTCACATTATCCATAATCCCTGATTGTTAATATTTTACTGCATTTTGTTTTTACTCTTATTTTTCTCCTAAGCAAGTGGGGGATGCAGCTATCCACACATAAGCTACATCTCCAGCTCTCAGCCCCTCACGAACAACAGGTTCATGAATCCCCTGGCAACCCTGACATGGCCCCTCAGGCCACTAATAAGCAAGATGCACCTACCATGCTCAAACCGAAGTCCTGTTCTCTACTCTTGCAACTCCTGTCTCTCCCTCACTCCCCACATTCTAATCCAAAAGCAAGTGCTATTTCTAAATCATACCTAAACCTCTCTCCACAGTTACCACTCTTGCCTAAGCCACAGCATCTCCTCGATCTACTGCAAAAGCCTAACTGGCTACTTGCAGCTGGAGCCACACACAATTCATTCTCCACAGAATCAAAGCTCCCAGGGCTGTCTATCACCCTTAGCATAAATTCAAACCTCTCACAGGGGTATAAACAGGCTCTCCATGACCTGGCCTTTGTGCTCCCTCACCCACTGTTCCCCAGTCACCTTAGGAAATCCACCAGCTATCTTTCTGTCTGGAACCGCCTTCCCCAGTCACTGTGCAGCAGGTTCCTTCCTGTCATTCAGATGGCCCTCCAAAAGCCTCATCTCAGAGGCCTTTCTGACCAAACAGCACAGAAATGATCTCATCATTCTTCATAACTCAGCCTCTTTTAATTATCGGCTGGTTATTTGCTAACTGATTTTATTTTCTGTCTCTTCCTGCAAGACTAAACATTCTTATGAATAATAACCACATTTGTATGGATCTTGGGGTTCCAGTGGTGAATAATGGCTGGCACAGAATGGACACTCACTATTTAATGAATTAATATAACAGAGTGGAGACTATGAAGCCAACACTGTCCGGGCTCCTGGCGCCACCATGGCGAGCTGTGCACTGGGGGAGGGGCACCCATTCATGCCTAGCTCTCTCTTCATTTAAAAAATATGGGTAATAATAGTGCCTACCTGAGAGACTGTTACAGGATTAAATGAATTAACATGTATAAAAAATAGAACAGTACCTTGCATGAAGAAAAATGTACATAAAAATACTAGATATTATAGTATTAAAATATCTAAAATATATATACACCATCTTCCATTTTTTAACCTTACATTTACTTCTACATTTATGCAGTTGTATTTATTTCCATTTAATGAACAATCTCCTCTTGACACATAACATTCACCACAGTATATTCTATAATTCAATCTGTCATTTTATTATTAGAGTTCTACTTGACTTGAATGTTGTCGAAGTTCTGCATATTGCTACTCTACACCTCTGATTATTTCCTCAGGAGAGACTCCTGCCATGGAAATTACTGGATCAGAGGGATGAACTTACCTGACAACTCTCAAACCAGAAAGTGCACATGCATTCCCACACCACTGCAGGGATGGAAGAGACCCTTACCCTGCCAGCCTCACTCATGTGACTGTTTTTTTAAAAAAGCGATTTAACAGCAGAAAAAATCATCACCTGTTGTTTTAACTCATTCTTGTGAAGAATGACTATATCAAAC